GTATATATATATATAGTTATTCAATAAACAAAGTAGATTCGAATGCAATCAATAAATTAATTCAGATAAGTGAGAGTCCTCCCTCCACTTATCCTTTCAATCTAAGTAAATAGATAAATATGATTGGCTTATGGCTGGAGGGGGGATGGACTGCCAATAATTGGTATAAGGAGTGGCTTCTCTTTTTTGCTACATCGAAAGGCCAATAGTATATAGTGCATATATCTACATTTATTCTGCCATGCCTGACCCTGAGCCAAACAATGCCAATGTCAGTCAGTTTTGGGCATTTTCTTGGCCGGCGTCTGTCGGCGGCGCCATCAAACGCACAGCAGTGGAGGAGGGGGAGGAGGAGGCGTGCCACCACGGGCCAGGCAGGCGGCCCAATCAAAAATTGTTTTTGTGAATTTTTAGTTTTTTAATTGAGATTCATTAAACAAAATAAAAATTGCATTCGCTTGCGTTTCGCTCGCTGGCTAGCTGGCTGGCTAGCTGGCTGGCTGGCTGGTTCGCTCGCATATCCTTTAATTGTTTTGTTATTTACGGTTAAATTGCGATGCGCTCGCATTGAGATGTCTCATCATGGCGAACGGAAAGCGGCTGCTGCTGCCGCTGAGGATGAGGAGGAGGATGAGGAGCGTGGCGGGTGTGTGACGGGCGAGGGCGGTGGGTGGCGCTGGCTGATGGGCAAGCGTCCGACACGTTGCGGTTGGCTACAGTCGGCTGCCTAGGTTGACGGATTGACGAACGGCGGTACTGGCTGCCTGCTGGCTCGCTTATCGGTTCGTCGTCGTCTGTTCTTTTGGCATCATAATTTTTCCTGCAATTAATTTTTGCACCAACAACAAAAACAGCAGCTGCTACAAAGTACAAAAATTAAAAGACTTACACAAGCTTACAAATTAACAAAACAAATTGCGGCCGCAGAGACAACTGATAGCAGCTCCCAGCTTTAAGCCAACTATTGAGTTCAAGAATTGTCTCCAATTAAAGTTTGTTTAGACTTGAATTTCGATTCGAGACTTCGTTTGTTGCTTTTGGAAAAGTTTCTTGTTGCCAAAAGGGGCTTCTTCGAATAGCATTAGAATATTGTAACAATCTCCCGTAAATTAATCGGCTGATTTTTTAGGCACTGTTTATGGATTTATCGAGAACCCTACTTCAAATCTGATTCTTTTATTATTATTACAATTCCAATTAAAACGTACATCATTTTTTTGAATAAAAAACAATTCCTTCTTATTTCATATTTATTTCCAAACATTTTAATGAAACCTTTTGAAACCTTTAGCCAATTATAGTAAATGAGTGAAGATGATGAGTGGTTCTTAAAATTAAGTTATGATTGATAAAGATTTTCTTGATCTCTTCCTTGTTCCTGACTTTTAAGTTAAATCATCATCTGATTTGAAGAAAATTTTTGGGCAGTTGATTTGATTTTCAATTTCCTTTTAAAGAAAAGTTAAGCAAGTAATAAACGATTCTTTGGGATCACATTTTTGTGATTAACATTTTCTTAATTTCTCTTCTTGTTCTATTCCAATTCGATTTAAAATTAGTCCTTTTCTTACCAATTTCAATTTGAGGGTAAATAAATGGTTGATGCTTTCCTAAATCATCATCATCTGATTTATAGGAATTCTTGAGGCAGTTGATTTGATTTTCAATTGCTTTTTAAAGAAAAGTTAAGCATTTCAATATATAGAAGACGATATAAACTGTTCTTTGAGGTCAAATTTTTGTTATTGATTACCATTCCCTTAATTTCTCTTCTTGTTCTCATCCAATTCGATTTTAAATTAGTCCTTTTCTTACCAATTTCAATTTGAAGGTAAATGAATATTCGATGCATTCTAAAAGAATAATCATCATCTGATTAATAGGAATTCTTTAGGCAGTTGATTTGATTTTCAATTGCTTCAACTGTTCTTTGAGATCACAAACGAATTTTGCAACTCTTCGGCATCGAAAGTTAATGACTGTAAACTAGTGTTAGACTTTGGCGCGTTTTGGGCGCGTTTATAGACGCGTTCCGCTCGATGTGCTCTCTACTTTCGATCTGGCATGCGTGCTGCAGGGGCAGAAGAAGCCGCTCCAACTCGAACAGAAACCATTAGACATTAGATGTTGCAGCTAATCGCTGTTGTGGGTCTTAGCTGAGCACTCGCGTCGCCGATTGCACTCGTAATGTGCTCGGCCCTCGATCCTCACTGTGCATCGAAACTACTTATCTGTCGGTGCAGTGCCGCAGAGTCAGTCAGATCCCGAACGCTCGTTAAAACAGTTGCCCAGTTGCCAAAAAGCGCGAGCGCTCCAACCTACTTGCTAACTAAAAACAACCCCCAACCCCAGTGGGGGAATTGTGCCACGGCGGTTCGAGTGATCGCAGCGGATCGTTTGATATACATACTATATATATTTATATAGATAGAGAGATAAAAGATAAAAAGATTAGCGCGTTTTTGATTGCTGCTGGTTGTTGTGTACTTGTTGTTTTTATTTTGACTTTTTTCCCGTTTTTTTTTTTGGGTTTTTTTTTTTGTGTGTTAGTGTGGTTGCATTTCTATTTGAAGATCGATCGATCGATTGATCGTTGACCGTTGCCCGTTGCCAGCCGTCGTCGTCGTCGTCGTCGTCTTCGTTGTCGTTGCCGTCCAAGTGAAAGCCAAAAGCAAAGTAAAGCAAAGCAAAACGTCAAATCGAGCGATCGAGCGCAAGACGTTGCGCGAAAAGTTGGTCAAGTGGCAGAAATAAAATACACACGCGCGATCGAGGCCAAAGCCTCAAAGCCTCCACAACAACAACAATACCACCACCACCACGAAGGGAGGAGTGCAGGGATCGCGGATCGTGGATCGAGCGGCTTAACGGGCTAACGGGTGAGCGGGTGAGTGTTGGAAGCAGGAAGGGAGTCATTGCTGCTGTCGCATTGTAACAGTGGCTGGATCGGGTCGGGTCGAGTCGAGTCGGAAAGCAAGCAAGCAGGCAAGCACGGCAAGGTGGATAAGTCACAGGTCACGCCCCGTGCCCGTAAAGTGGTGCGCGTGGTGCGCAAAAAGAAGCGCAATGTGAACGATACGAGTGAGTCGGATGCTGGCGAAACGGCTGGCTCGGCCAGCTCAGTGCCAACGACGGCGCGTCAGAACTCCATTGATGCTGTGATGTCCACGTCGGCTACATCAGCTAGCTCAGCTATGGCCGCCAATCGCCACTACTACGATGCGCCGCTGGCTGAGATTGAGGCGGTGCGTCAGGCCCACGAAGTGGCCACTGCGGTAGCGGCCAGCACGAGTCGTCCTTGGACACCATTGCCGTCGCGCAAACCACCGGTGAAGAGCAAGACCAAGCGACGCAGTGTGCTGGCCAGCAGTCATGCCTCAACAACGGCAGCAGCGGCGGCGGGGGGCAAGGCAGCTGGCGTCTCATCGAAGCACAGTACTAAGGAGCGCAAGGATCGTGCCTCGTCCTCTGCAACGAATGATTCCAGTGATTCCGCCGATAGCAGTTCCAATGACGGCAGTTCTGCTTCCACCACCACCTCGTCAAAATCGTCGTCGTCGTCGTCGTCCTCATCGTCGTCGACTGCATCGTCCAATAACTCTTCCACATCGTCATCCACGTCGCCAGACGTCCCAAAATTGCGAACCACCACCAATGGCAAGCCAGCAGTCGTCGTCGCTTCGTCCGCATCCTCGCTGCTTTCAACTCTGAAGAAGGCAAAGCCGCAGATGCGCTCCTCCAGCGCTACGAATGCCAGCAACACCAAGCAGTACAAGGATCCAAGTACAAGCGCAAGCAAAAATTAATTGTTCTTGTAGACATTCCACTCATTAAGCCTTTGTCCTCCACCCCGCTGCCCACCACCTTCGGCCCCCGCATCCGCCCACGTCCCCATGTCAAAAGCAAACAATCGCAACCTTTCTTTTCGATTTCAGTGCGGTGTGAAGAAGACGCGATGAACTCGCCGAAAGCAGCGCCAATGCTAAAATTAATTATAAAATACATCTATCTATCTATCTATATATATACATATATATATATATAAATATATATATATACCTAATAGATAGACCAATCGTTGTATATATACATATTATGTATCAGATATACATGCATTGCTGTGCAAAAAGGCAAAGCAATTAAAATTCGTTTAATAAACTTCGTTGTGCGTTCTCGTCTTCGTCGTCCACGTCTCTCCACCCCCCCTGCCACCCGCTGCTCTCATCACCCGAACCCGCACCCGCATCCGAATCCGAATCTGTATCTGAATCTGAATCCGCATCCGAAACTGCAGTTTGTTGACATTGAGATGATGCTGGTGTGGCGCGCCCCGCTATATCGCTCAAACGTTCCCAGCATCTGTCCAACTGTCCATCACATTGGCGCACATCCGCGCATGCAACAAACATCTTGCAGTTGGCTCTGGCGATCATCACAATCAGCGGCAGCAGCAAAAGCTGAAGAAGGTCGCGTGATTTCTTTTTAGAGAGACAGAGAGAAACAGAGAGATTTTAGTGCCCTGCCAAAATCCCAATCAACCGACAGATCTTCAGCATCATGTGTGTGTGTCATTATCGTTCGTCCATGTTTCATGTTAGTTTCTTCGCATATCCATAAGAGAGATACTCCTTTTTATGGGAACAAGAATTCCCCTTTCTTAATGCCAAACCCCACCACCCCCCAGGCATGAAACAATTGATCGGCAAATTGAATGATTTGTGGCCCGAACATAGCGTCGCGTTGTCCATTCCAAAGGAGGTCGATAAGAGCAAGGAGAAATTAGAGGGCGCTTGGGAAACAACAGGTATACTAATATTAAAGTTAACAATCTCTTGTGCATTTGTGTGTGTGCCCATTTAGGCCAAAAAACAAAACAAAACAACAAAAAAAGTGCTAATAATGACACTCTACGATACACCTCCCCTACTCCAAGAATATTCATATTAAAATGTCTTCTTTTCTCTTCTCTTCCTCCTACTCCCATTTGTGTTTCGATTTAGGTCGTGATGGTTCCAAAATTACAACAGTCGTTGCAACACCCGGCCAAGGCACCGATCGTGTACAAGAAGTTTCCTATACAGATACAAAAGTCATCGGTAATGGCAGCTTCGGAGTCGTCTTTCAGGCGAAGCTCTGCGATTCCGGCGAACTGGTTGCAATCAAGAAAGTTTTACAAGACAGACGATTTAAGGTGAGTTCAGTTATTCATCATCACCTCATAAGTTGAGGAAGTTGATCACATTTTCTAATTCCTATTCGTGTATTTCCATATATTTTTCAGAATCGCGAATTGCAAATAATGCGCAAATTGGAACATTGTAATATTGTAAAACTTTTATACTTTTTCTATTCGAGTGGTGAAAAGGTAAGTAGTTGAACGAACCACTGAAAAAAAAATCCAAAAAAAAAAAAATAAATAAATAAATAAATATCCCGCAACCCCCGTCCGAACTGAAACGTGTTTGGTGTGTGAAGTTGACAACTATAACTATAAATCGAATCCAATGCAGCGATTAATGCATTTCTATTTCATTGTTTGTTGTATATACTCAATACGAAATAAAAAGTTGGCAGAGTTTCCCATCGATTTGGGCATATTTGCCGGCGTACTCAAGCCGCAGGTATCGAAACGATCAACAATAACCCCCCACCCAAAAAAAAAAAAATAAAATAAATTTAAAAAAATATATATCTTCTCATGCTCTGCCGCTCACTCTCACTCTTATTCTTAATTGTTAACTCTTATTCTATTATACTTTTACTCTTAATGTGTTGTACTCGTACTATTGTCGCATTGTAGTGCTAATCAAAAGTACAGTCAGTACAGTAATATCAGCAGTACTGAGCATGCAGGCTTCAATATCTAAGTATATCTACTATATATTATATACACATACATACATATATATATATATAATATATATATATATATATATATATATATATATATATATATATATATATATATATATATATATATATATATATATATATATATATATATATATATATATATAATATTACCATATATATATAGGTATATATATATGTACAGGGTGCGCCATCTTTTATGTCGGTATGTAAACATTGAATATCTTTGAAAATAAACACCCGATTTTCAAGTATGAAATATTTTTATTTAATTTGGTTCTGTACAATTTCTTGAACTGAGGTTTTCAACACTGGTCCACTCAAGTCAATCGGTTCACTAATGACTAAGTTATTCAATATTAACATACCGACATAAAAGATGGCGCACCCTGTATGTGTATGTGTATATGTATATGTATGTATATTTAATTATAATAATTGCCAACTTTGTAAAAAACCTAGCGCTTTGCCGTCTATATTCGGATCAGCTAAGTGCTAGAAAAATGTTGCGAAAAAGTATCGCATGCTGTGTTGCAACTTCATTGCCGTCACCATCCACCACAACACAACCCAACCCAACAACAACAACAACAACCCACATTGCAGTTGTGTGCTATCTAATCTGCCATACTGCCATATACAAAATCAAATCATTGGCCCCCCCACTAATCGTTTCGTTATAACTAATAATCTCTCTTTTTCCCCCCTCCCTTCTTCTGTACAGCGTGATGAAGTATTTTTGAATTTAGTCCTCGAATATATACCAGAAACCGTATACAAAGTGGCACGTCAATATGCCAAAACCAAGCAAACGATACCAATTAACTTTATACGGGTAAGTTGTTCTGTTCTTCCAATTGTAAACTCTTCATCTTACTTACTCGTCCTTTCGTCATCTCTCCCCAGCTCTACATGTATCAATTGTTCAGAAGTTTGGCTTACATCCATTCGCTGGGCATCTGCCATCGTGATATCAAACCGCAAAATCTGCTCCTCGACCCGGAGACGGCCGTTCTCAAGCTGTGCGACTTTGGCAGCGCCAAGCAGTTGCTGCACGGCGAGCCCAATGTATCGTACATCTGCTCCCGGTATTATCGTGCACCCGAGCTCATATTTGGCGCCATTAATTACACAACAAAGATCGGTAAGACTCGAATTTATATATATATATATACTATAAAGACATAAAAACGTTTTTAACACTTTCCTTCTGCTTGGTTTTATAGACGTGTGGAGCGCCGGTTGCGTCTTAGCTGAATTATTGCTGGGTCAGCCCATATTCCCCGGCGATTCCGGTGTGGATCAACTGGTAGAAGTGATCAAAGTTTTGGGCACACCGACAAGAGAACAAATACGCGAAATGAATCCAAACTATACGGAATTCAAATTTCCACAAATTAAGAGTCATCCATGGCAGAAAGTAAGTGCGTCAATAAGTTCTAGAACTCGTGCATATAAGGACCCAACTCGCCGCCCTACATGCACACAACCCCCAACCCCTCAAAGCTTAGGTCAGTCTGGCCAGAGCTGGGCGTGGAATTAGCCGCACTAAAGCTATTGCTTGGTGTGACTGTGGCCCAACAGGGTTGTCTACTCTACTCTCATTGTCGTCTAACACGTCTAAACTTGTCTCCCTTCGCCGCCTCTCTAACCTATTGGAGCCAAGCATTGTTCTGCTTTTAGCCAGTCTGCCTTCATAGTGATGATCCCAACCAAAATCCAATTCGTGTCTATCAAAAGTAATCGAAGTATATGTATGTAAATAAAACTCGTTGCAGTCACTACTCGAACGCACCCAATTTCCAAACGCCCTAAACCAGAAACAACGATTGAGAGTAAGCCAAAAACTGTAAAATTGAAAAATCGGAAAAAAAAAACGACGAAACAAAAACATGTAGCAGCCGAATTACATGTTTTATATCCATCCTCCAATATTCCAAAGAGTTATACAAACATAATATACCGCAAGCAGAGCATAAGTCATATTCATGCGAATGCAACTGTACATATTGCATACATGCACAATCATGTCTGATTTCATAAGTGTTGTTGTATAACATAATGCCAAGAAAAAGCAAAAAGAACTCATAACAAACAAGGCTTGGTTGATGATGATGGGATAGTCGTTGTGTATAACCCTGCTGTAGACGACAATACGCCCAGTTTTAGGTTAATTGAAAAAGAAACCTTCAGCATAGACTATTTTATTGAAAGATTTAGAGGCTTGAAGTCATTTATGTTTTCAGACGTCAAGGCAACAACAGTCTATATAATTTATAAAACAGAAGCAGACATCATCTACTAGGCTTCTAGAGCAATAAAAAACTGTTAACGTTCTAAGGAGAAATCCTTACATTCAGAATACATTTGTTGGCTTTTATACCAAAAGAAGCTCAGATGAAACAAAAAATGCTTAACATAGAACTACCTGCAGCTTAAAAGTGCAAAATGTAGTTTTGATGAAATGCTGTAGCAACTAAGTGGAAAGAATTATTCAAGACATCAAATAATCAACTGAGTCTACCTAGCAATTCTGATCGCTGTGGATCAAACGGTTTACGAAATGCAGGCGTTCATACAGACAGATGTTTGAAGAGATACATATTTTCTGCCTTTGCTGTGCTTATGGAAATCGCAGACAAAGAAGCTATTAACTTTGTAACAATACTGAAAATCATCTGTTAGTTGCAATTTGTTATACAATAGTATCATAATTCATATTTCACGCCTCAGAATGCTGTAAGAAAAGAAGAAGAATGTATGAGCTGTTGCCGCTTCGCTGAACAAGTATCATATTTTGATTGATTGATTGAATCATTGACTTGGCTTCGTTTGATTGTTGAGTTTTTTATTGGTTCTTTAGTTAAAATTTAAAGGAGAGCAGCCGCCAGTTTGTGCCAGTGCTGTTGTGCTGCGCTGTAAATATCAATGCTTGTTGCCCCATCTATATACAATACTATATATACGCGTCTGTAAATAAATGCAGTGTTTAATATACCTTGTACTGACTGTGTTTGTCCAAACTACTGACCCTTTTAGCCCGCGGCCATGCCCACGCCCATGCCCATGCCAGCCTTGCGACAATATGTTGTTATCCTGAAGCTGCCTCTCTGCTCTTTGCCCCCTGGCTGTTGAAAATTGTTGTTAAAATATGTCTCTCTCTCTCTCTCTCTTTCTCTTCTCTCTCTGTCTTTGTCTGCGTACCCGCGTACCCAACCACAGGTTTTCCGTATACGCACTCCGACAGAAGCTATCAACTTGGTATCACAGCTGCTCGAGTACACGCCCAGCGCGCGCATCACACCGCTCAAGGCCTGTGCACATCCGTTCTTCGATGAGCTGCGCATGGAAGGCAACCACACCTTGCCCAATGGCCGCGAAATGCCGCCGCTCTTCAACTTCACAGAGCATGGTAAGTTATTGACTGATTGATTGATTAATTGACTGAGAAATGAGAGGTCGCTAATCCTTTGTTATCCTTCGATTCACAGAACTCTCAATACAGCCCAGCCTAGTGCCACAGTTGTTGCCAAAGCATCTGCAGAGCACCGCTCATGCGGGCGCTGGTAATCGGGCCTCGGCCGGCGGCGCAACGGCCACCGCGGCCGCTGGCACCACCGGCGGTGCGACAACGGCCAGTGGCGCGTCAGCGGACGGCGCCGCACAGTCCCAGCAGCAAGCACAGTCGGCGGCGGCGGCACCAGCTGCAGCCGGTTCAGCGGTCGGTGGCGCACAGGCCAACAATAGCAGTGGAGGTGGCGCAGCAGCAGCTGCTGGCGGTGCGTCAGTAGCGGCTGCGCAACAACAGCAGGCCAATGTGGCTGGCGGTGGTGGTGGTGGTAGTGGTGCGGCGGTTGCGGCTGCAGCTGCAACTGGCGCAACCGCTACAACCAACGCTGGTGGCGCTAATGTAACAGGTGAGTAAGCAGACCAGACCAGAGCGGTGCACTGCACAGCTGCGACGTGATGCCATCCCTTTCACTCCCATGTGTACTCGTACTACTTAGCTGATGATCTTAAGCGAACGACCACCAGCGAGTGGTGACGCCGTCATCTCCTCATTTCTCACACACATAACATCTTAAATCTAACATCCAACATCTAACATCCATCATCTCACAGCAAAACGGGATGATGATGAAGACGATGCTGATGATTATTTAATTTCGTTAATGTTTATAATCCTCCGTTGTCGTTTTGTAGATTTACGTTGCATGCTTCTTCTAGAACCTTCTTCTAGATATTGCACCTTCTATGCTCCCCCATCCCTCCCCTCTAAAGACAAATATCTAAGCATGCGCGGCTAATTTCGATTGCTCTGTCTAGGCCAAGCACAAATCAGATCAGAACAGTATTTTCAAGTAAATGATTTCAAAAGAAAGTACAATTTGGTAGCTTTATCAGTTGAGATTCTCCCGTGCTTGATATCTATACTATATTTTGTGCGGAATCAGATCGGAATTGTAACCCTTAGCTTGGAATATTACGTAATATAGCTCTCCTAGTAAATAGCGACTAAAAATTACATACTTTCTAAGGCAAAAAGAATATAAATTGGGAAACTATACTACTACATTCGTGTAATATCTGTAAACAAAAAAAAAACCATTAAATCCGAAAGAAGAACACAAAAACGATTTAACCCATCAACCGAACTCAACTCTGTAGAATTCAAGATATTCGGATAAGGCCGATCAACTAGAGCAGGGTTTGAAAAGCTCGAGAGTTGGGAAGAATTAAGAGTATTTATTGTTCAGTTGTTTTAGTCTGATAATCACATGAAATTACGATTCTCTAGTTCAGTTATAGTTATACAAACGAGTAGCTTAAAATAAATGAAAATAATATTGATAATGGAATATAAGCGTGATCGAGATTAGCCGCGTTTATACTAGACCTTCTCACTGATTACTGACATCTCACCCAATCCCAATACATGCCCATATAAAATATGTATATATACTATATAGTACGTCTAAAGTCTATACTGGTCAAGAAGAATCGTAAGCCAGCACGATTGCCGCCGTGGCGGCCTTGCAAAATACTGCCGAAGTTCCAACGACCCGAGATGCGTGGTGCGGTCCGCAAGGGGGGGCGCAATACGACCGTACGATTTGTGACAGAAAGGGATATTATTAATGATAATGCAGCCAGCGCCCCCGTACACTCCATACCATGTTGATGAAGTGCCGATGCTGAGCCCGATGATGATGTCAAGAGTTCAAATTCCAATTCAAGATCCATTTCCCTCCAGCAATTTTCAAGCAACTAGAACACTTCAATATGGCATATTTATTTTCAAGTTCCCAATACTACTACTAACAAGCTAATAAAATTCTGAATCCTGCAGTCAGTAAAAATCTAAAATGTGTTTCTCAACTCAACTCAAAACTGAACTCCCCCTCTCCACCCAGCCCCCCTATAAGTCTTTCTAGCTTTCATTTGGAGGTCTATTAACCAGTGTTGGTGAACAGCAATTGCATGCTTCGCTATTCATTTATTTGCACTTACATACTTACACACACAAACACACACACAAACACACACTCATACACACACACACACACATACATACATACATACATGTGTACATATGTATATGTAGAGGCATTCTGCCATATATAGCAGTTTTTCTTTTTGTGCTTTCAACTTTGGTTTTCTTATTTTTCATTTGTTTTTTCTTTTCACCTTTTTATTTACAGATTCATAGGGGCAATAGTAATATATACATATATATATATATATATATATATATATATATATATATATATATATATCTTTATAAATATATATATATATATATATATATATATATATAGTAATAAATAACACACGCATATATATGTATATGTATACTTACCTTTATATATATATGTGGAAAAAAGAGAAGAAAAACAAAAAAAAACAGAACGCAAACCAACAATACTGCATAAATGATACACACATATGATTAATTAATTTAAAGCTGAAAGAGAAAGGAGAAGAAGAGGAGGATGATCATGAAAATGCAGACTCATGATGCATAAAAAAGCAAAACAAAAACAACAACAACAACTACAACTAAAGTCTAAACTAAACAGAGTGTAACGCGAGTAAAAAAAAAAATGTTTTACTTAGGTAAAATAAAATGTATGTTAATTTAAATATATAAATATATATATATATAATACTAATACCTATGTTAATGATAATAGTAAAGAGATGATTATGAGATGAGTATGCTAATGCTAATGATTGACGATGATTATAATGATGATGATGACGACGCTAATGCTGTCCTTCTTCTTCTTAATATATATATATATTATTTTTTTTGTTTTTTTTTCTGTTTAAAACCCTAAATTGCGCAAAAAACAAAAAATAAGAGAATACAACAAAAGTTAAAATAAAATAATAAAACAAACAACAAAAACAAACAACAAAAGCTGATGACAACACACTGCAATATTGTCGTCGTAGCAGCGTCGGGTCGACAGGGCGGCGGAGTTTAATTTTTCAGTGCCCAGACACACACACCCACACCCACACATACTATAAACAGCAACCACACACACCCACACACACGCAAAACTAAATATATTTAATAAAATGAACACAGTCATTGCATATTTTAAATTTCAAAATAAAAATATATTATTATTATTATCATATATATATATATATCTATTTTTTTTGTAACTTTTTAGTATGTTAACAAGCAAGCAAGAAAGAAAGAAAGCAAAGAAAACAAAGTGTAGTAGTTAATAATGTTAAATAGCAAACTCTGAGCAAATCGGTAAAATTATAGCAGTAAACAATGTACTTGCAACATTTTACTATATGGCACCAATTTAAAAAAAAATAATAAAAATACTTATATATACTATATATATATATATATATATATATATATATATATATATATATATATATATATATATATATATATATATATATATATATATATATACATATATATACATAATATACCTATACGGTTGGATGATGGCATGGCTGCTGCTCGTCTGTCTGTACACACATCCAATTGACAGTAGCAGTAGCAGGAACAGTAGCAGTAACATTGCAGCATATGTAAAGTTTAACAGAAATGTAAAGTTTAGCGCAAATTTCTGCAGCGCGCGGACATAATGTTAATGCTATGTTATATATACACACATACTTACTATTAATGATTGATGCGCTGATTGATTAAACAAGAGCGAGTGTTTAAAACAAATAAAGAAAAGATAAATCCTTTTTTTTTATTTTGCAAAAGCATTATACATATATACATAATATATATATATATATATATATATATATATATATATATATATAAACAAACCAACAAACACACATATGGCATAAATAAATTATTTTTATTTTTATTAAATAATTCTTATTATTATTTTGTAATAAATAAAAAAACAAAAAAAATTAATGCAAAACCAGCGTGGAATTATTATAATTAACTTTAAAAAAAAAAACAAGAACACACACACACACATACATATATAGAAGAAAGCGATGAAGAGAGCTGACAAACAATACACAGAAAGCAGAAAAAAGCAAAAACAAAAACAATTTACTTATACATACTATATATAAATATTTAACAAAAGAAAAAACCCATAATAATGACTTTTATGTAAAATTTTGCGAATTACCGAAAACCACAGCCAAGTTCTGCTTCAAAATCAAAATAATGCGAAACGAAACAACAAACAAACAAACAAACAAAAAAAGAGAAAAGAAAACGGAAAAACAGAAAAACAGAAAAAATAAAAACACAACACTACTTTGTAATAAAAATGATATGTAAACCCCATTTTTTTGTGTAATCTAGTAAGTAGACATGAAACACACACACATACACACATACACTGGAAGAAGGAAGAATTATATATGTATATGTATATGTAGACTCGGCTCGGCTGCATTAGGTGTTAAAATATATGCATAAAATATGATTATTATACGGATGTATGTATTTGTTTGTATGTGTAACGACGGTTCAGTTGCAATATTTATGTGTAGATAATGGAATATTGAGACGAGAGTTAAAAGCGATGCTAAACAATTGGAAAACGAGTGGGAGAAGAGAGCAGGAGGAGGATGAGGAGGAGGAGCAGAAGTAGGCGTTGGTCATTTGGGCATTCCTGCAAACGCTTACGCATTACAGTGCTGCCAGCCGCTGTTCCCATAACATTTCTTTAACATAACTATGTTAATGGAAAGATCCAGTTAGGTTTTGCTATTTAAGTAATATTTCAAAATTGAGCTAATTTTTGCGTTTACCATCGTAGTAGTGCCTTCTATAATTACGTCACAGGCTGCATTTGCAAAACAATATCGCTCCATTCGCTAGCACAGAAGCAGAATGCAGCTAGAAACTCCCAAATTAACACTTTTTAATGCATCTGTTTGCTCCAATATCGTTCCATTGGCGAGGCTCGAGTGAGTTTTGTTTGGGATATCATGCCAGTCCGATGGAGCTCCTAAACAGATCTTACATAAACGGAGTTGATTGAAAGCATAATATCTGTGGCTATTCCTGAACAGTTCAGATGTCGATATTGTGGCCTTTTCCGTAAGTCCTTCCATAATTTTGATTACCATTAAGCACCAAAATATAACCTAGTATTAATCTTAAACATCAGTTATCGATTTTTTGTTGTAAGTCCTTTAATAAATTGTATTACAAGTAAGCCCCAAAAGATGTTAAAGCGTTATGGGAATACCCATGGCATAAATTGTTGGAGCTTTCCAACTGTTTTTTCCAGCTCTGCATATTTATATGGCAGCTAGAACCCGATAGAACGGATAGCAGGCAAAGATGTTGCAGCCAAAGTAACTCCTTAAAGATCCTTAAAAATTGTTAAACAAAAAGCACTCACGATGTAAAATTTGATTTATTTAACGCTACAGCTAGCAACAAATTAATAATTATGTGTAATAACGACGCTAAGCAAACAAAATGTATGAAGAAAAACAAAAAAACAAAAAAAAAAACATTACTTCCTAGTAATATTTAGGCAGCATAATACACACACACTCAGACAAATTGAGACACACATACACACACACACACACACGCTCTTCTAATCTTCTAATTTGTAATGTAATGGTAATTAAAAAAAAACAAAAACAAAAAAAATATCGCTACACACATGCGTGCATAAAGAACGTTAATAAGAAAACTGCAGTTTATGGTGACGATGATGATGATGATTATGATGTTGATGATAATGATGATGAAGAAGACCGAGCAAAATTACAAAATAAAATAAACCGAAATGAGAGAAAATTACAAGCAAAACAAAACAAACAAAAAAATAATAAAAACAATATTTAAACGAAAAAAACAACAACTACGTACATTTTTACTGCCTCTGCCTGATTTCGTTTTGTAATTCATTTACTTTGCTTTTCATTTTGGTTGGTTGTATGCGTTGTATGCGTTTCCACATTCATTGATATTGCATTTGTGTTGTGCAGTCGCCTGTCGGTTGGTTGGTTGGTTGGTTGGTTGGTTGGTTGGTTGGTGGATAGTGGCTGGTGGGTAGTGGGTGGGTTAGGGGCTGATGGTTGATGGTTGTCGGGTACACAACAACAACAACAACAGCGGCTGGAGTGGGGGCTGTGGCTCTGGCTGGCTGCTGTTAACAACAGATTGAAAGCAACAGACCATACGTGCAATGTTGTCTATCATCTGTGTGGCATGCTCTTTGCAGGTGTTATATGTGTGTGTGTGTGTGTTTGATTTTCATTTTGGATAACTGCTGGCCAACAACATACATACATATGTACAGTACATAGTACGTTCCTACAAATATGTATTGCATGCTCAATTGTTGTGCTCTCTCGCACGTTCTCTCTCTCTCTCTCTCTGTCTCTCTCTCTCTTGTCTTTGTGTATATGTCTGTAAACTTTTGTGCTCCTGCGGGCGCGTGCATCTCACTCGCACTCGCACACGCACTTGCACTCACATGTGCTGTGTGCAGTGGGCATTGCCATAGCCGTCAATTTGTTTGAACATTCTCTCTTGTCTCTTTGCACAAAACTGCAGGTTCACAATCGAACAGCGCCCTGAACAGCAGCAGCAGCACCGGAAACGGCAATGGCGGCGGCGCAGCAGCAGCAGCTGCTGCTGTAGCCGCAGCTGGGGGGACAGATGCAGTCGGCAATGGTGGTGGTGGCAATGGCGGCGGTGGCGGCGGCGGCGGCGGCAGTGACGGCAGCAGCACTGGTAACGGCAACGGTGGTGGCAGCAGCGGCAATGGAGATGCCGACAATGGTGAGGCCAGCGGCGGTGCTGGCGGCAATGGTGACAGTGCAGCGGCAGAGCCCGAACAGGCAGCAGCGGCGTCTGCCAGCACATCCGGTTAGCGCGCTCGCGCTCTGTTAATGTAAATGTTATTTACATCGTAATGTTATCGACATATATATTTTTTTTTTTCGCTCGCCCACTCGCGCACACCTCAGACAGGCATTCCCATCCAATCCACCCACAAATACATAAATGCATACATTCCATAAAAAGAAAAAAAAACTAAGAAGATAAAGCATTAATACGAAGCTAAAATATTTTAAATATTCTTCTATTTTCGAATGATTTCTTTTTGTGCCATTTTGTATTCAACCTATCATTGAAAATCGCAAAAGCATAAGGACATAGAATTTGTTAGTAGAAAATCGATTGGTTATAAAATGTCCTATATATACATTTTTAAGATTCCTAAATATAGGACTGGTCCTTACGTTTTCAGGATTAAAAAGCTCCTCAAAAGAAATTCAAAATACATTTCGAATTTAATTCAATCGCCACATGAAGGCATGTTTCGCACACTGCAGAAGGAAGAGGTGAATCGTCTCCCGATTCGGGATGTACACTTCCAAAGGCAGTTGAAATTTTGACTTTCTTCAAATTCTAGTTTCTTTCCTCACTAGAAATGTGGTTCCTCGTCTCCCAAGGACTTGTACTTTGTGAAATAGTCGAAATATTTGTTAAGCTGTAACAAATATCAGATCCAAGATGGACATAATTGAAGAAGTGCAATAAACATTAAACACACATACGCGCCATCGTACTTACATGAATGCATTCAAATACACACACACACACAGACATAAATTGGAAGATACCTTCATACGAATGAAGCGTGCTGGGCGGCAAAGCAAATATTCTTATATATTTAGCATAAAATGGAAAACAAAAAGGAAACTTTAAATTATAAAAAGGAAATATATAATATATATATAAAAATACACATATACACAAACAACAGCCGAACATAAAACAGAGAAATATAAAAATTAAATGCATTATAGTAAAAAAAAATATATGTATAAATGAATGAAAATGAATGAAAAGTCTCCAATATGCAAACGCAAGCATAAACAAACAACTTAGTCAAATAAATCAAAATTTTGTGTCCCATTGAAATAACACAACAGAAAAATAGGTAAACTAATCACGCATTATAAGAAGCAACTATATACAAATCGGAAACGGCCCCAAAAATTGTACAGCAACAGCAACAACAACAGTAACAGCAGATGTTTTCATTTCACTAGACTTGGCCTTAAAGGCAGAAAAACTGAAGGTTGAATCCTAAAAGTATGCTGCACTTAATTTCAATTGTGTTTCATTTCCACTCATTGCCCAAACAGAGCACTGTTAAGTGAGTGTACCGTTAAATTACGCAAGAACAGACTACTGTAAAGTGACACAACAAAAGCGGTAACATAACAGCGCTCTGTTAAGTGCCCTCTACAGTACATGGAATGCGCTCATTACTAACTGTCCCTTGTTGTTGCCATTATTGTTGTTCTTGTTGTTGTATTCAAATGTCAACATCTCGGCCGATCAATGTATCAAGAAATATTGACAAAAACAGAATGCAAAATCTAAATAAAGCATTTTTGTGTGCTCATTTACTTATCACACGCGCACGAAACATGTTATTTGTAATTAATAAATATATAAATATACCTATATATAGACCTATACATATGTATGTAGAAAGCGAGAGCAAAGGCAATGCCGCTGCTCAGATACGGAGATATCAAAAAAAAAAAAAACAAAACAAAATGACGCAAAATACTCGTAATCCTAATAGAGGCAAAAAGAAATCGCGATCCAATCCTAGTAATCTACTTATTACCGTTGGGCAGCAGATCTAGCAAAAAGTTCTTAAGTCAAGTTTAGCTTATGATGACACATACACACACACACACACATACACACAAACAGAAGCATACAACAAATGTATAACAAGGTAACAGAATATGAATATACAAGTAAAATACTTCTCCATCAATACCATAAATAACTATCGAAACTGTAAAGGGGAATGAGACAACAGCAACCGTAACAGTAACAGTAATCGTAACATTAACAGTAACCGTAACAGTAACAGAAATAAACAAATAAACGCTTTTAGCGCGCGACGCCACCCATAAACATTAACATAACATAATTATAAATGAAAATTTACATTTAATGGCAATTGGAAGGCCGGTAGCGGGAAAATCTATTAATATGATAAATGTATGAAAAACTAATCAACCGTTTAGCTGCAATTGAAAGTTTAAATTAATTTTAATTGAACTCAACAAAAAAAAAACAAAAAAAACTATAAGGAAAACAAATATAATAAAAATGATAAATAAAAGAAGAGAAAGCATGGGGCATATTAATATGTGGGACCTCAACACTTGAGAATGTATCTCACACAGCACACAACCACACACACATACACACAAACACACAGATCTACACAGGAGTCCACGATAGCAAGCATTTTGAACTTTCCACACACACTCTCGTAGGCATGCAGAGGAAGCTTTGTATGTCTGCAGAGTCAGTTGCCAGGTCCTTCCCTTTTTGCTTTCTTGTTTACTTTTCAAGCTCTGTTAAGCGAATAGAAACGTTTGGTTTCCAATTCTGCTTTATAGCAAATAAACATGCCTCTGAGTTTTTGCGTTTTTGATTATCCTTTTGCGCACAGCTTGGAGCTTAGAACACTCATTTCAGAAAAAATGAAGGGAAGCTGCCAGTTGGAAGTAAAGAGTCATGAGAGAAACAAACCGCAGTGGGAATGGGAACAACTGCAGCGTAACAGGCAATCCTCTTGCTTCTCTCACCATTCCACTTCCATTCGCTCCCTTTTAAACAAGCTCTCTTCGAAACCCCTATCCATCAATTCTTGCTATCTGTGGGACGAAAACAAAAACGCAAATTTTTCATTTCTGAAAATATTTACACATTATACAATTTTCATAGGAATTACAATAAAAAAAACGTAAAGATAAAATGCTTAAAAATACAAACTAAGCAAAAATGCGTATAAGCAATAAAATATTTCAATTTTTATAAATTACCAACACACAGACACACAGAAATACGTTTTATTGCAATGTTGAGTTTTGGAGCAGAAAAGCCCAATTATAGAAGAAAAATGAAACTAACTTTAAAATCATTTATTTTTTAAACCAAATCTAAATGTAATGAAACTCCCATTCCTTTTAGTAAATAATATAAGAGGCAAAATGATAAAAGTATTAGCTCACTCACACACACACAAACAAACAAAAACATTGGACACACACAAACAAACAAACAAACACACAAACTCACATGCGTTGAATGTAAAACACAAACTTTAATTTGTAATTATATTTGAACACATTTAAAGAAATCGTATAGTATATATACATGCCTATATAGGTATACATATTTATATATATATAAATATATATATATATGTGAAATATATATATAAATATATATATACATATATATTTAAAAACAAAAAATAAAACCGATTTCAACGTTTCGCTTAAATTATAAAGCAAACTTATAAGAACAAAAATTAAATTTAATTAAAAGAGAATAAACACAAAAACCTAAACTAAACGCAAACAAAAAATATAAAACAAAAAACCAAAACAAAATGAACAACATTAAAAAAACTTAATTTAAAAATAATAAAATTACAAAAAAAAAGATGCCAAGTGTTTTCCATTCGGGGTCTGCTGGAATAGTGAAATGTTTCTTGGGGATTTACTCTACATTGGTTTTAAGCCGAAATCCATCTGAACGGAATGAATGGAATGAGACTAAGAGAATACGTGAAACTGGTAAGTAAGCGGCAGTGTTCTAGCTCATCATTCCTGGTAAGTATATGTTACGATCGGAGGCAGAAGAGACTAAGAGAATACGTGAAACTTTTAAGTAAGCTCTCTCCGATAAAGACTGTGCTTTAATAACCAGTGTTGCCCATTTGGTTTTTTTTCCTGTCAAATGGGGTTGTTTTTGAAAGCATATGAATATATTTTGAAACCAAAATTAGGAATAGCGGGAAGGGGATTTAAAAAAAAAACAATAAGTAAAATAAAATAAATAAATTTCTTAGCTTTCTTATAAAAAGTTACCAACGCTGCTGGCAACTATTGTGTCACAAATCTCAGCAAATCCACTATTTTTATTTCTGGTGGATTTCTACAGAGTTGATAAACAGAATGTTAGTTCAGGCTTTCGATTCAATTTTCATCACCGCCTATTGCTGCAAATATTTATTAGACTTTCTGATTAGTCTGATCTTCTCCAACTCTTTCTTCAAAAACTTGCCAATCGAACTAGTTTTCCCATTGTGTCTGTGGTTGATCTCGGTGTAGATTTCTCTTAAAACTTTGGTTTATTCAAAATATGGCTTGCGTTTCTAGCAAAGCTTAGTTTTATCAATCTATGAAGGAAAAAGTGACAGTTACTCAATGAGGATCTGATTGGCTTAAGTGTCATCTCTTAAATTGCTCGTGGTTTCCATTTTATTTGCATTCTCATCCACTAACATGAGGAAATCGTAATCGTCTTTAGCGGATGTTATACAGGCTGCAAAGCCCTCATTTTCAATAAATCGGAAAATCTATTGGGATATGCCTTTAATGCCGGCATCGTCAGATACTCACGTAAAGGTGACAAAGAGGATGGGCAAGAAGAAGCTCAAAAAGATGTCCAAGATAAAGCCGAAAGCAGAGCTTCAACTACAAACATGCACGATATCAGGTTTCGAGAAGCTGCCGTCCAAGGATCTGAGGGATCCCATCTACTTCGAGTCTGTCTATAATAAGGGAGAGAACAAGTGATGCTTCCGGAACATATGATTCTTCCAAGCTGCACACCCTACGGCTGCGAAGGATGTGGACGTTTCTGACCGCTAATGTGTGTGAACTGTTTTTTTGTTAATTCAAATAACTGACAAGATTTAAGGATACTGCACACATCACACATTTGTTTGAACAGATGTCCTCATTTCATTGATGCTAAACAAAAATAAATGACCATTATTGTCCTTTAATAAACGTCACGAAAGGGATAAGCAGTCGTTGTCTGCCTCTCTGAAGTAATCGATTACCACAACCCTCGCCACCCCTTCAACACCAAATTGTCCTTCTGATTTAAGGCTACGATTAATTTTTAATAAAAAAAAAATATATATATATGCATATGCTTTTCGTTCCTATGTTGACGAGTGAGGATTTCTTCAATGCCTGCGTCGCTTGCCCAGCTCGTTGCTACTCGCTGCCTCCAGCTTGGCGCGCCGCTTGCTGGTCCTGTTGGTGGTGCTTGGTGGTCTTGAAGGCGCCACCGCTACGGATACTGCCACGGAAGCGGAAGCGGTGGCGATGGCGGCAATGGGCGTCACTGCTGGAGCCGGCACTATGACATCCTCGTAGCTGGTAAGCGGAACCGTCGGCTGCGTCTTCTGCTCCGTTTTGATGAGCGCTCCGGGCGCTATCATCAGCAGATCATTGCCGTTGCCGTTCCGCGTGCTCTCCAGCGTGGTGATGACGCGCTCGCACTTGATGTGCCGCACGGCAGTGAGTGCCGGGAGTGTGTCGTGTCCGTTGGTCATGCGTTTGTCGTTGTTGTTGGGCTCCTCCTGGGCTGAGATCGTTGCCGGCACCTGATGCTGCTGCCACTCCAGAATGCCCGTCAGCAACTTAATGTATTTGATGGCGGAGCGGAGTATTTCGTTCTTCGACAGCTTCTTGTCCGGCGGATGCGTCGGCACCAGTTTACGCAGCTCGGCAAAGGCGCCGGACACGTTTTGTTGGCGCCAACGTTCACGCGTATTGGTGAAGACCTTGCGAACGCCGCCGCCACCGCCACCACCGCAGCTGGAGCTCGAGTGGTTGCCGTTGTTGGGCGGCCCCAATTGTCCGTTTCTGCCGGCGCTTAACTGACCTGGAGAATTACGTCCGCTGCCATAGAAGTTGCTGCTACTGCGCGGGGAATTCGACAGCGAACGATTGCCTGTAAATGGATGATGGTGAGAAGTGGGAAAAGTTCAGAGGGTTATTGAAGTTTAAAAAACACGGCATGGGAATAGTCGAAAAGTATTGAAAAATTATTTTTGGATTTATTTACAGATTTCAAATAGGTTGGTCAGAATGGGCTTAAAATGTCTTCATTTATTTCAGAAAGCAGTATTTAAAGAAGTTCCGTTACTCGACCAGTGATTCTACAAGTAGTATGTCTACTTCTTAGAAAAATGCAGAAAATTATTTCATTTTAAAATTAAGACTTCGGGATATCAGTCGAAAAATATTGAAATATGATTTTCGGATTTATTTATAGATTTCAAATAGGTTGGTCAGAATTGGCTTAAAATTTCTTTATTTATTTCAAATTGCATTATATAAAGAAGTTCCGTTACTCGACTAGTGATTCAAGTATGTCTACTTGTTAGAAAAATGCAGAGAGTTATAAAAGTTTCAAAATCAGTCGAAAAATATTGAAAAACGCTTGTCGGATTTGTATGCACATGTCATATAGATTGGTCAGAATGGGCTTTAAATTTCTTCATTTAGTTTAGAAAGCATTATTTTAATAAGTTCAGAGGGTTATTGATGTTTCAAAATCACGGCATTGGAATGTCAATCGAAAAGTATTGAAAAAATTATTTTCGGTTATATTTATAGATTTCAAATAGGTTGGTCAGAATGGGCTTAAAATGTCCTCATTTATTTCAGAAAGCATTATATAAAGAAGTTCCGTTATTTCACCAACGATTCTGGTATATCTACTTCTTAAAACATCCAGAGAGTTATTGAAGTTTCAAAAGCACGGTATCAAAATGTTAGTCGAAATTGTCGGATTTGTATAGAGATATACTTTCTTTTTAATTTCCCCTTTTTTTTTAGCAAATGAAATTCTTAAATAGCACTTATACGATTTTAAATAGTACCCCCAGCACTGACTCTTTTATTGTCAATTGATTTTTTTCAACAAATCATAAAGATATTGGAACTTTAACATCGAAATAATTAAAAGCGAATTCATTAAATGTTTAAGAAAAAAAAAAATGAAAAAATGTATATGAAAAGAAGGATTCTTGCCTTCTCGAGAGGTTTTTTGTTTCGGTAAGTGGAAGGTTTCCGATTGACTTAAATTCAGGGCGTATTTTGCTTATCAGAATGGCACTTCCTCTAAGAGAGATCCCTGGTTTTTTTTATGGATCCATAACCATGTATAGCTAACCAGTCCCTGGTATTTGTCTGAGCTCATTAAGAAAGACTTGTAGGAGTATTGAGTCTGACATTAAAATCGAAGTGGTATTTTATATATAGTATGTGGCCCCTTGACGATATAATAACATCCGTCTGATACGGGTATATCGCGCCATTGTTGAGAACCGATAGACATTTTTCTGCACTGAAGGCGAACTAAAGCTCGCAAAGTTACGTCCCAGTTTTCTGTTTCCCTAAGTGTAGTGCATTTTTGAAACCCCTATGGCGCTGTTTGCTTCGCCCTTCGCCTATTTTAGTCGCACTTGATTCCATCTATATGGATATACGAAATATCTTAAGTGCAACTCACCATCTGCCTGGTTGCCATTGAGCACAATATAGTCGCGCAGCTCCTCATCATCCTCTTCGGTGTCGTTCAGCGAGAAATCGGAGAGATCCCCATCGGAGAATGACTCGGTTTTGGGCTGCAGATAGGGTGTTGCATGCCGCAGCAGGGCCGGCGGTTGCTGCCTGGTGCTGGCAGTGACAGTGGCTGCGTTTGTGGTTGACGTTGAACGGTTGGGCGAGGCATTGCCCTCGTCCCGTCGGTTCGTGCTGTTTGTCGAGGAACTGGAGGCTGTGCTGCGCTCGTCCGCATTGTCCGCGCCATTCGAACTGCTTGGTAGCCAGGCCATTATTTGCTCCAGGCACGTCTGTACAGCTCGAGAGTTGACTGCTAAATGAACAGCACAAGCAAAGGACTAGAGACCAACCCCAAGGAACACACTAGAGGGCGGCGCCAGAGTCACCCTCGGGGCATAGAGCGGGAGAGAGAGAGAGAGAAAAATCATCACTGCTCCTTCCCTTGGCACTGTTTCTTTTTTAGAATTCCATTGTCTTAACGCACATAAATCCAGCAGCTATGGAAATTTAAAAAGTTGATGCACTAATACAAGTATATATAGATCTATGGAAATTTAAAAAATTGATTTACTTTTATATTTAGTTTTGTACCTGCATCTGAAGAGGTAAGGCGACTTGAATGTCTAAGTGTTAATACTACTTTATATTTTGGTGTGTACTAATTTCTATTTTTAAACCCGATAGAACGTATCTAGATTATAAGTCCCCAACGATAAGTCTTCCAGAAAAACATAATGAAACACTGATTACGACTACTATAATTCAACGGAAAAACTATTCATGTCGCTCTGCTGCCTTCTTGGAATAGCGTAGGACGGCCATTTGTTTGCCAGAAGTTTTTGAAGGGATTGAGGAAAATAAAAAAAAATCGACTCTAACATCCGACTACCGGTCTACTCCATTCAGTGAATCATAATGTGGCACCCAATAGCTTCTATTTATTCGTAGGACAACGTTTTTCGATGTCTGAAGAACCCGTTGAAGTAAGTTGAAACATTTATTTTCAAACTAAAGTCTGTTAAATGGAAAAATAGTTTTAAAACAAGATGGGAAACTTTGAACTTAATGAGGAAGAAAGACAAGAAAACCATTTTTGATAACAAATTACTGACATTTTCAGAGCAACACAGTGCATGTAATTGTAGATAATTACTGCATGGCTGGATCAAAGACCGATAGAAAGTATATAAGCTTTTATGTTGGCATTAAATTGTGAAATCAATTCTTCACAATTCTTTAGGTTATTTATCGATTTTAGTTGAGTGCGTTGCTCGAGAGTTAAAAGTATTTAAGAAATGTTCCAAATATTAAATTTACGTTGAAGAATGAAAACTTGAATGGTGGTTCTGAAATACAAGAACCCAGAACAAACTCTTCAATAATCTAAAACAAACCCTATAACCAACTTTATTGTTAAAAGAATGTACCGATTATCATATCATCTCTTCTAAAAGTACTGTAAAGGGCAATGGAGTCAGGTTAGAGAAGAATGTCTTACGAACAAAAACTAAGAACTGACTGCAGTATTTCTATCGCATTATTCAACAGTATGTTGAGAAGTATATATGTTTTTATTTCTTTATAATGAATTAAATACGGATGGAAGTCGATTTATCTGCTTTGATTATCAAATGAAAGTCTTTGTGTCTTGTCTAAGAACTAACCGTCCGAGCTATTCCAAAATCAAACTTGCAAGTGTTTGAGAAAATGTTTAATATATGTATGTATGTACGAGTAAAAAGTTGGGTCTTACTTGTACAAGTCACCATTTCCGATTGGCACAAGTTTTGGGAAGAGCTTAGGTCACTTTCTTGGCTTTCTTTGACTTGGGCTCGTGTTTGCTGGCTTTGGTCTTTGTAGGATTTGTGGGCGGCGCAATATCGCCGACCTGAGGAGTGGAGGTGTACGATCTGAAGCTTGTCAACCGTGGCGTCTTCAGAGACGCAAGCGTGGGCGTCGTCAGACTGTGGCGCATAGTCGGGGATGGATTTACGAAAATCATCTTCTCGGTGTGCTCCTCACCACCAATCTGCACGCTCCGATTCGGATGGGACTTAACATTTATAATGCCGGGCGGCTTGTAGACATAGCTGGTGGGCGTCATTCTGGTATCGATATACTGCACCACCATCTCGATGGGAAAGTCGGAGGCGAGCACTTCGGTTATCTCGAAGGGGGCGCAGTCGGCGACCTGCAGGCGCAACGGCATGCGTGGCGACATGCGAAATGTAACCCGATTTATATAGTGCGCCATATCCACATTATCTTTAGGCCGCATATAGACACACCATGTGGGCTCGACCAGTGCCGGCTGAAACGAGTCTCTCTGCTCCGGCTTACAGCCGAACACAAAGTCCTTCGAGATGACGCACCGAGTGCCACTAATGGCGTTGCCTAACCGATTGCAACTGATGCGCTGACAGGCGCTGAGCTCATCGGACTCTTTCGATTTCATCATGACTCTTTCTTTGGCGGACCGAAGCGTTTCTCTAGCAAACTCAGTTGGATTGTGGGTTTCACTTAAGTGGTCCTTTGGAGCGAAAAGCAAATAGGTAGTTGATTGATTGACTGGGAATTTTGATAGAGGAGGGAGGTTAAAATAATAAAATAATTTTAGTCAAAATTTTGATTGGCAGGCACAAACACACCGAAAATTTCTATCAGACTGAAACTAATCGAAATGCGGATTTGGCAAAAAGGACAGGAAAAGCAATGAGAAAATGTTCTTGAATACAAAATTCATTTGATGACAGGGCTTCCAGATCAACGAAACGGAAAGTTGGGAAAAGGATTACAGTTTTCAATATAGATTATAGATAAAATAAAATAATAGTGCGCCGATAAATATTGAATTTGCTTTAGATAATTTTTGTATAAACTAAGTTGTATAAACTAAGTGGGTCAAATATGGTTTGTAATAAGCTTAGTGTGTAAAAGATTTAGATGTGTTTAAATGCCAGACAGACAAATATGTTTCAAACGATTCGTCTTGTCATATGGTGCCTGTAATATAAGGTATGCTACGTCTCCTTCAGGCAATAACTACAATCTCCTACCGCTTGTTGAGATAGGGATATTTCATTTCTTGTGGTTATGATTCTGACATATGTTGCGAGACTCAAACACCATTAAGATTGCTTCTCTGGTTGTGGTCGCATAGCAATCCATTCAATGGTTTTGATGTGTTAACCATAAGAAGGATATTCTTTGCACCTAAAAGAAGAACACTAGTGTCTTTGTATAATCTCCTAATACTATGACTAATTTACAAAGTTGGATTAGACACGAAATAAAGCCTTCCAAAGAAACTAAAAAAAAATGTCATCCTGCTAGATCCGCAACTTTTTGTTGAAAAATACCAATTATGTTTGATTTCATTAGTATATTAAGAGTGACTTTTCGACTGAAGTCTGTGGAAGAAAGCCAACTAAATCGAATTATGTGACAAAAGCTAAACTTGGTAGCCAAGTTTATGAACGAAAAAAAAAACCAGACTAGCAAAGAGAAAGTACCTTCACTTGAAACATACTTCGCTTCGTCAAAGTTTAAATTAATTAGTAGTCGAGTCTGACAAATGATAGCCGCAAAAGTACTTTGCTGGTTGGCGCTTATCTCATCAAATTATCGCAACTTCGCAACTCGACGTCTTGCAGCCTTTCTGGCCGGAGAGAGCGTGGAAATTTCAACGCATTCGTGGGTTCAATGAGCCTCTACAGTAATTTGCCTACGCGGATTTTGTACGCAATGTCGGAGGGCAATTAACACGTGTCGCCTTAAAGAGGAAGCACGCACTACGGCCACCCAGCAGCAGCATCCGGGCCACAATGCGCACACGCCAAAGGGGCGGAGTCGAAAGCGAACAACCCCCCGGCTAGCCAAGGTAGTTGGTGAACGCCCCGAATGCCGCACAGTGAACAAAGGCACAGCTAAAATGTAGCTGAGGGGATTTTTGGGAAATAGTTTGAGGGTATAGCTTTAATGAAAAGGCAATCAAATACATCCATTGGGGCTAAAAAGATTATCTCCGTGAATTTCGTAAACGTACGTCAATCTATTGCCCTGAAGTTCGGAAAGAGATTTACATATGCGGGAAATTCGACAAGTTTGTGTGCAAACTATTTGCATATCTGACCACACATATACAAGTACATTACCACAGAAAGCATTTTTGTTGGAAAACTTTTAATAGCATGGTAGTTATGTGAATTACTTTAAACTGTCTATATTAGAAGCAAGACACAGTTAGTGCTACCTATATTATGGGTCCTTTTTGAAATAAGAATATTTTCTGTGCTGGAGTGCTTCACCATTATCTTTCGTAGCCTGCCCGAAGGAAATGGAATCACAATTAGTGCTCTGGTTGCAGGGATTGCTTCATATTTGCGTAAACTGGTTAGGAATTCGAAGTAAATTCTTTCACTTGCACTAAATACGGGTTTAATTAACAGGAATTTCCTACTCTTCGTTAGTCTGCATCAAACTGGCATCAGAAACAGTCTCCCATATCATTCAGGAGCAATTTATTTCGGCAACAATTTCAATTTATTTGTCCATTAACTAGAACTTTGCACCACTGTGCATCTATTGGTGTCTATTTTTAACCAAAAATTTGACAATGTATTTGAATTTGGACGCGATTCGGACAATTTTGTGACAACGAGCGAGTCAAGGCTGGAAAGTAATTCTACTTATAGGCGTGTGTGTACATTCAGAATGACTTCGAGTCCATCAACATACAAATGAGTGTAAATCCTTATAGGGGGTAGGGGGTGTGTGTATCGATCTGTATGTGCTTTGTGTGTGAGCCCCTCAGAGCTTCTCTGCCTGTGGTTTCTTCACAATGAATTTGCGGTGGGGGTGTGGGCTCAAAACTTTGCGGACCCGCCTCAAATCGCGGCGCACACCATCTGGGCTGCCTTCCAAAGACACATTCAATGTCGTGGCAAACTGCTCAGCAATAGACTCCGCCCTCGCTAGCGATGGAGCTGAAGCTGGAGCCACAACTGCCACAACGGCAGTCAATTCGGAATTGCTGCTCTCCTTGGCGGTGGACTCAATCGGCTGGTTGCGACGCAGAAACTTCAGCATGCGCGTCGAAGGATTCACAAAAGTGATTGTCTGATGCGTCTCCTGCAATGCATCTGGCGGCTCATCGCCGAGGCCATGGGGACACAGCTTGAGGCCGTGATGAAAGATGACGCAAGTCTGGTTGACGTCCCGAAAGAAGAGGGTCAGTGTGACGGGAAACTCGGCGTTGCAGTACGAGATGGCCTGATAGGGCGCTCGATCCACGATGCAAATGCGATTGGCGCACTCATCACTGAACCGAAAGACCACCTTCTGAACGTAATCGTATATATCCTCGTTCTCCGTACCCTTGACATACACCCGGAATGTGTATGTCCAGCGGCCCTCTCGTCGACGCTCCAAACGCCGCGCACAGCTACCAATAATGATGTGCTTCTCGTACTGCTTCTGCCTCTCACCAAAATCTGTCGACAGCAGATAGCGACTGTGGGTTATGTCCGAGAGGTCGTCCTCCTCGAGCAGGCTCATCTGTTCGGCCATCACCTGGCAATCTGGAGATTGTAATGTGTGTGCTCGCGATTTATAAACGCAATTTAATTTAAATCTCCCTAATATCTGGACAGTGCAGATGATTATTCACTTAAACGTTCCCTCACTCTTATTTTATTTTGTAAGCGACAAAATTCTGCAAAAATGCGTTACTTGTGTGTATGTTTCTATGCTGGATGTACAAACTCAAATGAACGACAACTATAATATTTATTGCTAATGTGGAAATGTTCATTCAACGCCTGCTGAAAAAATCAAATAGTCGTGTGAACTATCTAACCGGAGAGTGCCTTAAGGCTACTTATATCATAAAAGTCCTCTCAGCTACGCGTTCAACGTCGGGGTCACCAAGAGTGGGTAGGCAGTTTCTTTCTTTCTACAAACAGAGAAAAAGCGTTATAGGAATATAATTGAAGAGAGGTTTGTGCTCGCACTGTCAAATCTTTGCTCTATGCTCGGAAAAGCTGCATTATAAAATTCCATTTTCTTTTATTAAGAACTTCTTCCCTGTATGGAGCTGTAATATTCACTATACCCTCTCCACAAAGGCTGATAGGGTGTACTAAAAAGTCTAAGCGCTAAATACATCAAACGGAGGAACAGCCAGCTTCGACTGTCCATCCGTCTGTATGAACATCGATAACTTTTGAGCCATAACATCTACGAACACTTAACTGGGCATGTAGACTTGTCTTATTCACATGTAAAGCAAGTTGACTACAAAATATATATAGCATCTTTATTTTATGTAGTTGCCATAGGACTAATCGGTGCAAAAATTATGCTTAGTATGCTATCTTAAAGAAATCTTCTATTTATGAGTTTAATGCAGTATAAATACAAGTATGTTAACGAGATCATAAAGCAACCGTTGTAGTATTGGGTACAATAAAGTTTATTTTGGAAAAGCATGAGTACGGGATATAGCTGGACTTTAAGGCTCTTATAAACTCACACTACATAGACATAAAAAAGAGCTGTAGCTTGGATTAGAAAATTATGAAAAAAGTAAAAAGGTAGCAAGAGAGTTTCATGAGTGGAGGGCAGCTGTATGGACAAGTCAGAATTGATATTCATAGGCAGTGCCGCTGTCCTCCCCCGCTCGTTAGGTATCATCACATTCGCATTAGTGCGGCCACTTGCCACTTGGCCTGAGAACCCGTGCCTAATCCAACTCACAGAGCTCGCGCGGCGTCCCCCAGAACCAGCAGCAGAACCAACGACCAGCGGCCAGCAACCCTCAAATGTTGCCACTAATCGGCTTAGCGGCAATCAAATCAAAGTCAACAGCGTCGTCAACAGGAAGACGCTGCTTCATCCAACTCCAATATCAATATCAAATTAGCAGCACTTTTGGTGGCTAATTTTTTATCATCTGGTGGCAGTCGATGGTGCCTGCTGGCCGGCACGTGTGTAGCGCTTCGATAAGCCAAAAGCCTCCACAAACAGTCACACGTGGCCCGCAAAGACCACGCCCCCCTGCACACACACACACACACATACTCGTATGTACTGGAGTGTGTGTGCAAAAGAGCGAAAATGTGGGACGAGTGTCACTTGATTTTCACACCCAGTCGAGCGTCCTCTGATCCCTTCAATTAAATAAAATTCAATTACTTCATATGACCACAGATAGAAGGCGGGCGATAAGAAGGCAGAGCTTTGGATATCAGCCGAGTTTTCTCTCCCCACCCAAGGGCGTCGAAATTACTCAAAAAGGCGCTAAAAACGTTTTAAGGCAAACAAAAAGGAGTTCTCTCACCCCACAAACATAGCTACGAGGTCAGAGTTTAGCATTCGGGGTGAGAGTCCTGTAGTTTTAGGTCTCACAAAAAGGGGACATCTGCAGTGCAGCTCTCTTTTTTGAAATAAACATGCGACGTACTTTTTGATTCCAATTTGAATTTCAAGCTTTAAATCTATATTCTCTTAAGCTAGACTGAGCACGTTCTTAGCTAAACTACTGTACAGTTATCTAGTAGTATATAGAAATGGATTAAGTCGGCTCAGAATCAATTATTTGTCCTCTGCGGGGTCTAAACTGGAATCCCAATCTTCCGTTGCCATTCCACTCAAGCAGACTTTTGCTTATTACCCCTCCCTTACTATTTAATCGCAGGACTATTTTGGCGATTTGGTCCTCCGCAAAATCATGGTCGGAAGAGCAGATTTGTGTGCCCTATTAGATCGTCTTCAATTCTTAGTTCCTTGCAGATAACAAGAAATGAAAGACATGCTTAAGGCGTGTGTATTAAATTCAATATATTTTCAATTTGTTCCATAGTACATATATACAATGTTGGCAACTAAACTGAATTTATTTCACTTTAAGATCAGTTTTATCAACAATAGTAGTTAGTCGTGCTTGTTTAAATTTTTTTCAAATACAAGAATCAAAGAATTGAGAATTTGCTGAGAAATTCTCTAGTTTTGTCCCATTGTACTTAGCACAAATGTTAACTTTGTCTGACTCGGTCGGTAGACCTAGCCTTTCGCCGTCATTCCCACATTTCGCAGTCCAAAAACCAAAACAAAAATTTAAAAACGTAAAATATTTAGTTTTAAGCGAAAAGTGAAACCATTTCTAGATACGGTGTTTTTTTTCCTCTTGTTTCTTACCTTTTTGTAAAAAATATTATTGCACACCGCGTTTGATTTCTTTGAGGATAACTCCTTGAAGCCGACAAGCCGAAAACTGCTGATATTCTATCCACTCAGATATACATATGTACATATATGCAAACAAAAGACAGCGCAAACTGTATCTTTGCAATAATCCGCTCAAGCCAGTTTTAAAAGTATTACTACTCCAGATTTTCCAGAGTGCTTCAGAGCCAGAAAGTACAAATCTATGCAGCATACACATGATAGACAAGACACCTCCAAACGAGAGAGATACACGCATACCCTATTGGTATAACCGCCAAAACATATACAAGTATTAACACTAGGTATAAAAATCCTCGAAGAGAGGAAAAGGACGGCAGCAAACTCCGTAAGTTCAGCTAAGACTTAAAGGTCCCCCGATTCTCGAAATATATTTTTTGCAGCACTCGTCAATGCCCCTGACTCGGACCCTATATGCTCATGATGCTCGTATTTTCAAATCTTCTGAAGAATATTCACCGATGAGCGGAAAAATGCCAATAGGTTTAATATTTCCAAATGATTTCGCATAGCTGGCCCGTTTCCTATATACATATGTATGTAGATGAGTTCCTGACGTACGCGTAAGTAATTTCGAAGGAAGCTGAAACCAAATAAGAATTCTTTCAATTATTTGTACACAACAGAAACAAAGTGTCTATGGCAGTTGTTTAGACGCCGATCGTGAAAAATCACTCAGATTCAATGGCAAGTAAGTTCTGGAGTTCGCATTCTTATAGAGATATATGTACTATTTCTATATGGTAGTGGAAGAAGAAGCACACACACCGGCACGATTATCACATGTGGGGTTGAAAATATTAAAAGAAAGGAGAGATTACACAAGGCTATAGAAATATAACTAAACCCTAAAGATGTATAAGCATTACTATAGTAGAAGGAGCAAGGAAGTCTTGCAATTAACGCTAAGCTCGCATTAATCTCAGCTTCATGTATTTTCGTAGCGAGCCTAGCAAATATTGTTTTATTCAGTACAATAATGCTGAAGTCCCAGAAATTTCCAAATTGTGATTATGCAGTTTTTGAGGCCCCTGATCTGTTGGATGTCGTTGAAACACCGCTGCAGCATAAGATGCGGCAATCAAATGGTCCACAAAATTGATGATGTAAATTGATCAAAGACTCTTGGTTAATGGGTAAGTTACGCGAAACTCCAGAACTTTTAAGGAATGTGTAATTAATACTTATGTAGAATAAGGTAGGGGTATGAATAGTGCCTATGGTATAGCACAGAAATGAGCTAGAAAACGATTAACGAAAAAAAAAATGCAAATTCAATTATTATTAGCGATAAACGTTATTTTTTTACATTGTATTAGTATTCTATTGAAGGAAAGGATGCTGAACCTATTTAAGTGGCGTGCAGTGTATTTCTTCACGCCATACCAACGCATCGTACTTGCTACATTAGTCCAGTAATCACCGCCAATTCCAGATTGAGATTGGTTCGGTCACTGGCAATGGCCCCATCTCAGCGTGCAGTTCCCCTTCATTTGCAGCCACTTCGTTCTCAGCATTGTCGTACGTTGGCTGACGTTCCTCGGCGTTTGCTTTCTTCGCACAACGCTACAAAATCACCGACAATTAATCAATTATTTATTAACTCTGTGGTAATTCTACACCGTGCGCTATACTCACCACACAAATATAAACAACACCCTCACTGTCCGAGGTGAATACTTTATATCTCTCGTGCGGATTCTCAACCGCGGATTGGCAGCGCACACAGTGGGCCGGTCTGCTATTCGGGGTCCTTTGGTTGAGAATAGACGCTTCCATCTGACACCTGGTCAGCGAAGTCTTGATGGACTGTGAAATGAGTTTCTGCAGATTGCTACTAAGGTTGGGACAAAGCGTTCGAGATTAGTTTCAATTGTTATATTGTTTCATGTACTGACAGATTTGATTAAATAGACTCACACACGATTACAAGCAGAGCTGTCGATCGAGCTGGCACTGTTGTTGCCATTACAGACCGCAAGGACGCGTGCATTTCCGTTGAAAGCCGTGGTAGGGGTCAAGCCCACGGGCGACGGTTTGGCACCCTCTGGAGCCTTTGGCTTCGGCACACGTATGCCGGAAACTACAGACGGTGGGGAACCAATTTCCGTATTAACTGGCGGTTGCGTTTTGCGACGTGCTGGCTGAGCCTCACGCACCAGTTCAAATTCAGGGCCCACACCCAGCGATTTACGCTGGAAGCAGAAGTGGTCGATGGTTAAATCGCCCTGTAGAAGTGGTATAATGTCGTGACGAGAACGGAGTTTCTTGCCCCCGGGAGAGATGAAGTATACGTCACCACGAGCCGGTAGGCCATGACGCAG